AGCACCGAAAATGGAAAACCTATAGTCGACGGTTATCCTCTACTCGCAAATTCAAGGTCTCACAACCACAAAGCAGAACCTAATGAACGCTTGTGCAATATACACGACCTTTCAACTTCAAAAAACGTCGCGTCTACGCCAAAGTTGTTTCAGTCCTGCATATGCTACTCGAGCCTTGGAAATGCAGGCGGTTATCTCCTTTGCTGCAGTACCGTAAATTGTCACGCAGCTACCTAAGTAGAAAGAGTAATCCACCATAAATGATTCCCGGCCGTTTAGTTTCAGAGAGGGAGTAGGCGAAACCCAGTCCTGGAGCATCAGGCTGCACGTTGAAGGTGCAAACCACATACCGGATGTGGCAACTCTACTTGTTAGTGTGCTTTTCGCGTCCTCGATACATTCGAACAGACATTCGAAGTCATCGGCGTATTCTAAATTGCACAGCTTTTCTCCATCTGCCCATTCAATACCTACGTTTTGGAGACCACTAAGTGTGTTCTCCAGTACTTCGACTACGATGAAACTGAACAGGAACGGCGAAAGGGGTATTCTTGACGAACGTCATTGCTATTGACGAATGTTCTACTTAGTTCATCATAGACCCTTACACGAGCAGAGGTATGCGACTACAGTGACCTCGGTAAGTTAAAGTACTTCTGGGGCATTCCTTTTCGAAGAAAAGAGAGCCCATCAGAGCATCGCGTTCAACTGAATCGAAGGCTTCTTTCAGGTCAAGGAACGTTGCGATCGTTGGTCGGCGGTGGGTGTGAGGCAGCTCAAGGACCTGACGCAACGTGAAAATTTGATCAATATATCCATGGCCAGTCCGGAATCCGTCCTGCTGTTCACGGATGTTGGTTTCTCTTAAAGGCGTCTGACGTGGAAGTTGAACCGAGAGTCAATAAGCTACTTTAGTGAAGTCTTAACCCCACTCCCTGTCCCATATGATCACGAGGTCTATAATGAGAAAGGGGATGTTAACCATAGTTAAAAGCATGAAACTCAGAAAATGCTTGCAGGCTCTATCGTTGGCTCCGGTGGAATCATCTGCCTGGCTAACTCTTCTGATGTTCATGAAGCAGATTCTTTGTCATATACTAGGTATTCAGAGTAACGGAAAGTGAAATGAAAAAAATAAATAAAAATACAAGTACCATTTGATCGACAGATGGTTCGCAACCTTTTTTCCAGCCAGTCGCTCATATTCGTGTACACTCATTTCAATAATTGTTAACTATTCCAGTTGCATTTCTATTACTCACTATCGTTAAGGTGAATCTGGGCATGCAATTTTTCCGATAAATCTTTTTCAGTTTTGAGCACCTCGATCGACACGTTGGTGCAAGGATCAATATTTATCAAACTGTAGTTCCGTTGAGACGGCGGTAAATCTTTCTTCGTCTCTGTGAATCCGTTTACAGTCCATCGCAAAGCATAGCCCCTCACAGTTGGTTCGTTAGCGGGCCAGACTGCGGTGAGAAGACCGGGTTGAATAACCAGACCTGCAAATGATGCACCCGATGAGGAATTCGCTGTTGAAAATCAAGAACAGAAAGAAAGACAAATAAAAATAGGCAGTACATTACGAATGGAATACTAAATAGTGAATATTCTGCATTCAAAAGTTCGCAATTTAAAGCTTCATTCGAGACGAGGACTGTATCCACAGTTTGCATTTCTGATAAAACACAGAACAGCGTTCCGTTTTGTCGGTTAGTTCACAATCGATTATGATATGAATTCGTGATTACCCAGAACAAAATTAACACTCGCCCTATTACCTGAAACACTTCAGAATGACACGTTCTTGCCTGTTTGTCCTCTAGGTTTTTGATAAAATACGTGCTTTATAAAAAAAAATTATTTTTTACGATCTAAAAAAGAAAACATACAATCAATACTCCGTAATACAGATAGAGTGGATCCGGTTGAAGACTGCGGTCAAATAACAAATTCGAATTAAGACAAGTAATTCCTCTCGAAATATCGTCCTCAATCACGGCGAACTGTGAACTTCAATCCAAATAAATGAGGATTGTCATCACAGATTTCAATCCTTCACCGGAGCACCGTGGCCAATGTTGAGTGAACATTCTAATAAGCAAACGTTTTAAAATTTATTCATCTCATGAGGTGAATGATGGTGGCAGGTTGCATTGCGTTGTACTCTTTATACCTTTTGCAAGCACTAGAGCTCACATTTCAGTTAAAATATCATTCAGGCCAATCGTCACAATGTATATAATTAACTGGGAGAAAATAATTACGCACATAGGGACATTT